GAAATTAGTCCATTTTTATAGTTATGTCATGCAACTAAATTTCAAAGAAAAAATAAAAAAGAAACCTTTCGGCTTAGACTTTGTTTGGCTCCTTACCTTCTTCCCTCAGTTATCCACCATTAATTTGGAGTAACTACTGTCCTAAAGCTAAAATTACAAGGTCTCAGAAAACGTAATTCAGATTGGTGTTACCAACATAAACCCAAGAAAGAAAACAAACATCACATCAACATCTAGGCAATGGTTCTTCCAGATGCTTCCAGTTTCACGGAGTAAGTGCCTCTCAGCCCACTTTAAGAACAAATCAGGGTTGCCTAAAGGGTATGTATCCCAGAGCCCAGCCCAGAAGGACATGGAAGGTGCAACCAGCCCGGGCCCCCCTTAGGAGTCCTCATTTTCTCTTGTTAGACAGTGAAATGATTGGACCCCATGAGGTAATGCTATCATTGCCACAGCGAAAATGAACCCCAGCAAAACTCCTTTCAACTCCTCCATCCCCTGATGCTACAGGGTCTGATGCCATCATGCTCCCATGTAAAAACCAAAGCTCTTGAGGACAAGCTCAAACAGATTAAGTTCTGTGGACAGTGGTTCGAGTACAATCTTGCCCAGTTTGTGTCCAGATGGGGGAAGTCTACATTTAGCCATGTCCTAAGCGATTATTGGGGAAGGAAACATTAAATCAGAACCAAAATTTTCATCTGATCCTAAAGGCTCTACATAGTGAACAAATATATAAAGCACCAACAAAAACATAAAATAAATAAAATTGATTTACAAAGGAGGATATCGCATACCGGTATTCAGAGGAAGAAAACTCCCCACTCCCCCCAGGACTGATTCTCATGCAAGGAGAAAAATTGCCCGTGCTGTCCTGTATGGCTTTCTTACACTCCACTTGTCTGTCTTAGAATCACATAATCTTGCTTTGCAGGACAAAACAAAAATGGAAATACTATGTTCTGATCACCAACCTGTAAAGAATAATAAACAATTTTTTACTTAGTTGTCTAACCTAAGTATTCTAATACTCCCTGCCGCTGTCTATCTCATATCAAAACCTCCCTCTAAGGAGGGTCTGGTACTACTATTCTGGTGGATAAGGAGAGAAGCTGAACCACATCATCAGCATTTTATAAGTACCGGTAGTTGCCCAGGCCTTCTTATAAGCAAAATCACACCTCATCGTTTCTTCGGGGCTGCTCAATGTGGTACACACAGGCCAGTCCTTCTCTGGATCTAGGTTCAGCTATACAACATCTGTGCCATTTTATTCAAAAGCATCTAAAACTCTAACATGGGCATCCGTAATGATGCCAGGTGTCGTGTAGGTGGTTTTGTTCCATGAAGCAAAACCAAAATATGCTTTGGTGATCATGGATTTATACTCATTTTTCTTTCAGAAATCGTAGAGAAAATCCTTAAAATCGTCCAAAGTGTACAAGAGAGAATATATAACGACCTATGTTGCATATTACAGAGGAGGTGAAAAAACAGGTCACACTGAGCGCGTGCACACACACACGTGTACACTTACATACACATGAAGAGACTTCCAACCTGAAAGGAATATTTAGAGAAGCAGAATGTGGTCTAAAGAGAAAGTCCTTTAGAGTAGAATCTGGGTTTCAATTCTGCCTCCTGCCCAAGCTCTCTACCTCAAGTTCATTTTCTACGAAATAGAAAGAACCATAATCCTACCATAGGACAGCCGTGAAGAGTAAGTAAGATGGAATATACCACAATACTTACTGCAGTGCCTGGTACATAGAAGATGATAAACATCTCCTTCCCCTCCCCTGTGCATTTCTGAAAGGCTTTTTTTTTTTTTTTTTTTTACTAACTTAGAAGGGAATTCTTACAGCAGTTAAAAAAAACAGTTCTTACACATTATATAGTCATTGGCACATATGTATCTGTTGCAGCACCATAATTTGCAAAGAAAAAGGAAGTAGTAATTTTAAGAGAAAAGTACCAGCTCGTTTGCACTGCCTTGTAAAACCTTTAGCTCTATGGTCTACAGAGACTATTCGCTCTAGGGGAGCAAAATCTGAAATAAAGGAAAATTTCTCATGGGAAAAATGGTTCCCAAAAAAAGCCAAGAAAAGATAATGAGGGGAAATCTAGGGGTATATAAAGGAGTTTATTTTACTTAACAAAGTAAAAGTCAAGCAAAATGAATAATCTGCCTCCAGAAATGGTTATTTAAAGGCTTTTTGTAAAGGGCTCCAGTTCCTAAAAAGACAGGAGTCACTGCATATGCCCACCCACTCCTCATTTATTTTTAAAATCTAGCTTATATGTTCCTTAGCAACAGAAGGAGCAGATGAGACCCCCCACACACACACACACGCACACGCACACCCTCTCCCAAAGCCCCCTTCTTTCCTGTCAAGTGTCATTCTGCAAATATCCATGTTCTTCCAAGGGTATTTTTTACCTACCTGCAAATCTCCTCTTTCCCACCTCAAATGACTCCCCCTCCCCTTACACAAGCAGCCATACTTCATTCACCAACCAAATTCTTTGACTCAGACTCCATCCTGTGAGGTATTCCCAACGTCTCCATGAACTCCAACCAGTCAACTGTCCTCAAGTGCCCCCAGACATGAGGTGGCGTGGTCCCCACTGAGGAGCCAATGCCCAACTCCAGGCAGAGGTGTACTTTCCTTACAGACCATTTATTGACCTGTATCGACCTGAATGGTTGACCATTCACCATGACCCTAAAAAATGAATCCTGGCAATCAAAATGGAGACAGTCTCCGCGTTACCCAGGACAAACATGTGCCAGACGAAATCAACCATCTTGTCACTGTCTTTCCTCTGACTTTGGACTGTCTGGCCCTGTTTTGGCTGGGCACTGTTTACGAGCTCAAAGATCAATTGTTTCGCCTTTGGGAAAAAAATAGGGCAGCCGTCCTCTGATATTAGTGTGCTTAAGCATTGCCTGAGGAGCCTGTTAAAAAGTCCCACCCACAGACTGATTTTCTAAGTCTGGGGTGGTTGGCATTTTGAACCCGCCACCTGAGGTGATCCTGGTGCAGGTGATTCCCTGAATCGGAGATTGTAAAGCTTTATTTAAAAGGGAATGTTCACAAAGTAGGATCCAACTCTGTGGATTGTAAGGCAAATGTGGGATTATTATTCCTTGATGGAAAAATGTTGTGTTCGTGTCTGTGTTTGTGCATGCACACACCTAAACATCCATGTATGAGCTTGCAATCCAGAAAGCCGTGTCCCCACCTACTACCCATGTCCAGGAGAGAAGCTCAGAGAATGACACCTGCCAAGAGGCAAGCTGAATTGATTTCCCTTGCAAACTCTGCCTCTGGAGCCCTACCTAGTGAGGAGTCTGATGAACACCAGTAACGCAGGACAGTTTCTCAGCTCAGGAGCCCAGACCCACGATGTGCCTGATGTAATCAACCCCCTCCAACTCACAGTTCCTAAATTAGGCTGAATGTAGTCCCTGTCCCCCCTAAGGGCCAGGCAGGCCATCATTCCGAGGAAGTAGAACCGCCTGTGTCCTAGCATACCTCCCGAGAGCTACCCCACTCTCCACCACTTGTCTATTTTTAGAAACCAAAAAATATAAAGAGGAAGATTCATTTGATCCTGATCTATGTGAGTGACTAAAAGAGCAAGCCAAGTGGGAAACTTCCTCAGTGCACAGTGAACAAAACGCACACGAGGGATGCGAGAACAACAACCTCCCCAGGAAGACCACTTCAGAGCCATCAGATGCCCACGCTTAGACACAGGGCACAGGCCCCAGTGACTGGGGCCTCCGGTGCGGGCAATGCCTATGGGGATCCCAATGATTCACACACATGCCCCCATAAATACAACACACACCCTCACAAACCCACACACCTCTGTCATCTGCTTTTGCTTACATAACAGCACATGGTGTGACGGGTTTAGTACTTTAGAGGGGTTGCTGGAAAGGACTGCTAATTCAAAGGTTAGGGTCACACGAATGTTTTTACCGGCCCCTTTTCAAGAAATACTCCAACCCCTAGCAAGGGCAAATTTTTCTAGTTCTGTGCTTATTTATTACCTCAACTTCTAAACTAACGAGGCAGTAAGGGTAGTCTCTGAAACTCTCTGAATCTCTCAAAATGTTTATGCTTGCCTGGGGTTGGGGGGTGAGGGGGAGCAGAGAGCCTAATGAATCCTCATTCCTCTTTTTTTTTTTTTTTTGGATCCTGAGACAATGTAGGATAATCTTTTATTATAACGTGGTGGCCATTTACCCTACACTGTCCTCGTCTCACAAATGCGTCCATCTTCGGGGGGCAAGCATGGTCCCATTCTCTCACTCATCCCTGGCTTGCCAGCGGGCTCGCCACCTCCCCCTGCCTCCTGCCCCGCACACCCAGGAGAGAGGGAGAGAGCACAGGTACACGTAACCCCCTAACCAGGAGTATCTACAGACAGAGCCACACCGGCCCTTCCTTAATGGCATATATCCGTGCAGGTGCGACTCCACAAGGATTTCCCTTCAGGACAGCGCTGTCCCTTCCTGCCTGTACGGTGATCTCAACTACCAAGTTAGTGCCAAAGGTTCATCCAAGGAAATCTGGGAGGTGGGGGGCGGGGGGGGAGTGGTTATGGATGACCCCGGCTTAGGGACAACTTTGAGGACTCCTCTTAAGAAAACTAAGCATCTCTGTGTCTGCACCCCACCCCCCACTCCCGCGCGCACACGCATTTTGGTTGTTGTTCTGATCTCAGGGACCCAGTCTTCTGTCCTGTTCCGGAGGGACAGCGGGCGCACCCAGCTTCCCTCCAGCCCAGGAGGATGGGATGAGAAGAGAATACGTCTCCCCACAAGGGGGAGAGAGAAAGAGAAGCACACACACACAGAGAGAGAAACAGAGAGAGCGCAAGCGAGCCGGGTGCCCCCAACTCCGTGGAAGCGCCCGTGGGAGCGGCCAGAGCGGGTCTCAGCCCCGCGGCGCACCTGCCTCCGGCCGCCGGGGCTCCGCGCCTACCTGTAAGAGACCTGCTTCCGGAAAGTTAAGTTCCTCAGCTTCTCCTCCAGCGCCTCGTCCTTCTCCTTCGGGCCGGCGGCCGCGGGCTCCTCCAGGGCAGCGGCCCCCGCCGCCGCCGCCGCCGCTGCCCCCGCGCCCCGCGGGTCCGCGCCGCCCTCCGCGCCCAGGCAGCAACTCCCGGCGCCGCTTCCGCCGCCGCCGCCGCCGGGCGCCCCCTTCTCCTCTCCCGCCGAGGAGCTGGGGTTCATGGCGCCCGCTCCGGCGGCCGCCGAGGGAGCCGAGGCGGCGGCGCTGCAGAGGCCGGGCCGGCTGACGGCGCGGGCGGCGGCCGCCGCTGCGGGGGAGCGAGCAGGTCCGCGCGCCGCTGGCAGGGGCAGCAAATGGCAGCCCCTTCCCGCAGCATCCATCCGCGGCGGCACCGCACCGGGGCATTGTGGGAAACTCCGTGCCTCCACTCCCCCTCCCCGACCAATCAGAGGCCGCCTCCCTCCGCCCCCCTCTGCCTCCCCGCGCCCTCCGCCCGCCCCTCGCCCCCCACACCCTGGCCTTTTCCTAAATCGGGGGCCCCGGCCGGAGCTGAACCTGAACTCCGCCCTGAGGCGTCGGGGGGCTGCCGGAGGGGAGGACGGAGGGCGGGGGCCGGGAGCCGCCGGGCGCTGGGCGCGAACCCAGGCGTCCGAAGAGGAGAGCCCCGGAGGGAAACTCAGAGGCAGGCGTGCCGCGCCCTGGTTGGCACGCGAGGAGGCGGGGGGCCGGCCGCGCGAGGTGCCCTGCTCAGGCGGTCAGCCCTGGGGCGGCGGCGCCCACCTGGGTGCCAGGGAGTGCCCATGCCCAGTGCCCGTTGCTGCGGCGGCACCCTCTCCGTCCCCGCTCTCCGCTCCAGCTGAGCTCGAGCCCGGCAGAAGGCGCCCTGCGCTGGCAACCCGAGAGGGCTGGGGGAGCGCATTCAGGGCGACCCGGGGGAGAAGCCGTGCGCAGGGTAAAGTAGGGTGGGGGAGGGGCGGGAGGGGCAAGTTTAAGATATAGGCGAAGCGACTCCCTCCTTTCACTGGACCCCTTCATCCCTGAATCGCCCAACCAGCCCAGAGTCTTCTTCACACCTAGCAAACTCTTCCTAAACAGCTGTTAATTTGATTGGATGGGATCGGAGGGCCCCCAGGGAAACGCAAAGACTGAGGGAATCCAGGAGGTAAAAGTGAGGATGGGAGCGCAGGGTGCTCTTGCAGGGTCGAGTCAGGAGAGGAGGAGCTCGCCCAAGGAGGGGCTGTGAGCCACGTCAGACCCCACTGCTAAAAAAAAAAAAAAAAACACGCCAAGCCTGCGGTCTATGGAGATTTAGTCATCCACCTCATCCCGAGTTTTTGTTTCTAAGATTACCCAAACTCTATGGGGTTTGAATGATGCGCTACACAGTGTATAAGACAGGTTATTTTCCAAATTAAAGGGTTCCACCCAAGAAATCGCAGCTGTTAACAAATAGGAGAAAGATCGGTACTTCAGGCTAAGTGTAGTAGCCACAGTACGTACCTACATGTACCTGTGGTAAAAGAACTGGACCAGAGAAGAATTTCAGGTGGGCGCTGTAGGACCCCAAACAGATTGCTTGATTTCTTTCCCTTTATTTTCTCATAACTAGAATGAAGACGTTGAACAAGAGACCTCAAATCTCCCCAAAATTCCACATTGTGTAATTCTTTCCATATGCATATTAGAGCAAGCCAAAGGTCAGGACATTTCCAGAGTGGAATGAGGAAAGGTAATAATAAAAATGATTTAAAAAACAGCTAGTGGTTATTAAGCCTTCATTTTTATATGACAGTGTTGTGCTAAGCACTTCAGTGCCTGTATCTAAATTTTCACAGCACCCCTCAAATGTTAGCAACTCGTCGCATTGCTCATGCAACGAGAAGTTGACAGAGCCAGGAATCATACCCAGGCTGTCTGTCCCAGGTGGTTGCTCTTCACCCCTGTGCAGTCTGCCCCATCTTCGGAGGGGAGTGGGAGAATTAGGCTCTTCAATAGTAACATTAAATGAAATATATGAATACATAGTGTATCATTAAAACCATATGATCTTAAAAACATGATCTTACCTGAATTACTAGACGGCCTTCTAACTGCTCACCATAACTTCTCTGATCAATTCTCTAGCTCAACTCCTAAGATACTTCTGATATGTTATCCTTTATCTGAAAATCTTCCAAGTATGCTATAATGTCATTAGGGCAAAGTTCAAATAACCCCTGAACTGATTTTCAAGGCCACGTTAGTGGGTGGTGTGCCAGCCCTGACCACCTCCCCTTCTTACTATTCTGAAAGTGCCACTCTGAACTGGACTGTGTACAAGTCTCAGGTACCCCCTGCTCCCGTCATTGCACGCATGGGTCTGCTGCCTCGTTTTCCACATCCTCCCCATCCCTAGTATTCACCTAGCTAACTACTATATCTCTATTAGATTTGAGTTTACATATCTCTTCCTTCTAGAAGCTCCATTCATCTCCTTCTAGACTGTGATAGGTACGTCTTCAATAGGTTCCCAATGCATCATTATACTAAACTTTGACCACTGTAACTGTCAGTCATTTGTTTATCTCTCACATATGTTTGCGGAGGCTATGAGTTATTTATCACTATATTTCCAGTAATGAGCATAACAACTGTGCATATGATAAGCTGTCATTAAGTGTTTATTGACTTAGAAAAGAAAAATAAATGATTTTCAACATATAAACATGTGCTCAAATTCACTCATTATAAAATAAATTCAATTTTAAACTATAATAAGATGTCATTTTTTAGAACAGTTTGATAATGGATGGTATTGGTGAGGGATTACGAAAACCAACACTTCCTCAAATCGTTGGTATAGTTTGACGCAGTCCCTCTGATGGGAAATATGCCAGTACCTATCAATATATGAAATGCACAACCTAATTAACCTAGCAAGTCCACTTCTAGGAATTTGTTCTCTGATACCCTTGTAGGACACCAAAAATTTAAGACTAAAAGAACTTAAATGCTTGTTAATATAGGACTCATTACCTAAATTATTACTCATTCAGACAATGAAATTCTCTGCAGCCATTAAGAGGAAAAAGGCAAATTGATACATATTGATACAAAACAATCTCAAAAATGTTAACTCAAAAAAGAAAAAAAGGGTTCAGAGTACTTAGTATACTCTCCTTTACAGAAAAGAGGATAGCTATAGATATTGTATTTCAGGAAAGATATTTAATAAGACGGTGACACTCAGACTAGAATGGCCCTAGTAGTAGAATCCTGAGTTTTACCCGATTAAATAGATATATGCCAACAGGAGACAGAATGTCTGCTGGACCATTAAGTTGTGTATTTGCATGTTTAAAGAGGGTATCAACAAAGATGGGCTACTAAAAAAGGAAAATAGGGTTAAGAAAATGGACATTGAACACGCACCAGAATTTTATAGAGAGAAACAGAGAAACCCTATACCTAAGCAGTACAAATAATCCCAGCACAGAACAAATGGATTCTTGCTATAAGTGGTTTTCTAAGAAATTACTTAAAATATCCATTATTCTTTTAGACAATTTATTTTCCTTTTTGTTTTTCAATGGTCACTAAGCTACCTTGTAATTATTCATTCAACTTCTTGGTTACCTTGACTCTAAAAGTGGAATCCTTAGAAATAGGTCAAAAGCATTCCAATCACAGGAAAGGAAATTGATATTCAGGTTTAAAAATTCTTCTTGTACTTTGAGTAACAAAGTACATAAACAAACAAAAAAAATGAGCTTCTCCGGGTATGTTAAAACATCTGCTTCTAATCCTAGACCTCACCTAGACAGTATCTCAATCACTGGATCTAAAACTTCTTGCCTCACCTTTCTGTTATCAGTTACTGTTCATTCTAAAACAGGTATCATCCCTGTCTTAAATATCAGACTTGAGTCTCCAAATACCAATCTGTTCAAAAAGTCTTCAAACATGGAATTTTAAAGAACAATTTTTTTTAGAGTTCAGAAAAGACTGCAAGATCAGTATAAAGAGAATATTATAACTAAAATTTTTTAAATGCTTGTAGTGATTGAAAATTTTCAGGAAATAACACAGAATCATGTATTTTTTAAATGCAAGTAACACATGTAAACCACACACACACACACACACACACACATTTAGGATTTCAGTTATGTATAGGCCAATCTAAATATAATAGAGTCTTTGAAAATACTATCACTAAAGGAAAAAAGCTAAGTGAGCTGAAGTCTATACACTTATTCCTGCTTTCCAATCTTTACCTTTGCTATTTGTGTTGCCTGGAATGCTCTACCTCAGAGGTTCCCAAACTTTCTCAGTTCATAGAACCCTTAGCATCTCAGTAGGTAATTTTCCTGAAAACTAAGCCAAAATAAGAAGCTAACATTTTTGTTTACTAGGGAGTTAGGTGCTAACAATTTATTAAGCAGTTGTGTCTCAATGACTTTAGCAGTTGTTTAAAAAAATAGAACACATACATTGAAAAGGAATAATGATAGGTGTATCTCATTCTTAAATAGCCATAATTACTCATCATGTAATGGACATGGCATAACTTGTCAAACCTAGGAATCCTATTAGATACTACCACTCATTCCCTGTACCTGGGAGTGCTTTTTATCAGAGCAAGAACTAAAAACCCAGATCTGCCAAGATAATGATGTCATGTAAAGAAGGTAATGTGGATCCGGTGTTGAAATTGTCAACTACCTTGAGCTAGCAGTTTGCATGGTATTCGACAGATGTTGAGTATCACTGAGTTTCCCTTGAAAATTTAAAATATTCTGCAATGCCCTGTAAATTCACTACAGAAAACTGAGCACCTCTGTGCAGTTTAGAACAGTGGCTTTACTCAAAATTTTCCACAGTGTTTGGTTTCTTTGAAATTTTTATATGTTCATTTATTTTTGAGAGAGTGAGCAGAGGAGGAACAGAGAGAGAAGGAGATGCAGAATCTGAAGCAGGCTCCGGGCTCTGAGCTGTCAGCACAGAGCCCAACGCGGGGCTTGAACCCACAACGGTGAGATCATGACCTGAGCCAAGTGTCAGATGCCCAACAGACTGAGCCACCCAGGTGCCCCTCTATGGTGTTTGTTTTGTATGGGTCCCCTGAAAAAAGACCCTGATGTAAGTCTCACAAACCAAGGCTTTATGGGGAATTATAATCCCAGCACTTTGTGAAGGGAAAAAAGGAGGAGGCAAAAAAAAAAAGAGGGAAAATAAATTCAAGATGGTAAATTATGAGCTAGCTGCATCCCCACAAATAAACATAGCTGGTTGCTTAGTCACCAGAACTTCTTCCAGGCAGGCTTTACATCACTGTTGCAGCTGGGAACATTCTGCCTCCAGAAGAAAGAGGAATTTCTCTGCCACTTTCTTCTTGGGT